TTTACACAATTGATGTGTGTATGGATTGGGATAACAGTTGTATGAGCCCCTAATAAAATGTTAAAAAAAATAAAAATTAAAAATAAAAACAAGAAACGTTTCTCTAGCTCCGAAGCCTTCAAAAAAAAAAAAAAAAGCCCTTGCCATCAAATCTGCTTTCGTGGGGCTACATATCTCTGTGGGAGAATTTATAAAACTATATATTATTGTGGAGGAATAGGATCCCAATAGACTTGGGCTTTGTCTGTTTTGTTTACTATGCTATTATATCCTCAGCCTTCAGAACAATGCCTGAATACTTACTGAATTAATGAATATTTATTGACTGAAGGAATAAAAAGTTAGATAAAGGATGTATGTTGCCTTAAGAAACTGAAGAAAATATTGATGAGCACTTAAAAAGAAAAGGATAATATGGTTTCTTGTAGATCACATATATATATATTAACTCCTGAAAGCAGTGACATTAACAGTGTTTTTTTGAGAAGATAGAGCTCAATAGTTACACTGGAATGCTACATCATGTGGAATATTTAATGTTTTCTTATTATGTTCGCAGCTAAACTATAAGTATATGAAAAGATGTGTAGAAAGTAGTCCTATCGTACCTATTCAGCAGGAATGGCTGGATAACATGTTAGCGCTGATACCCAAGTCTTTAAAGGAGGGGAAGAAAAGAGAAGAACTTGTTGAAAGTCTCATAAGTGAGGTCTCAAGTGACTTTGAAAGCAGCATGAAGAGTTATTTGGGTGAGTAGCATGTAACATGGGGTCTCTGTGAGGGCACCGACCAATAGCAGCTACCAAATGTCAATTCTCTTTACTTCTTATTGTGAAGTAAACTGTGTTCCCCAGAAATATGAGGCCTGGTGATGCAACTGATTATGAATTGGACTGCTAACTGAAAGTTCAGTTGTTTGAAACTGCCAGCTGCTCTATGGAGAAAGATGAGGCTTTGTGTTCCTATGAAGATGTACAGCCTCGGAAAGCCATGGGGGGTGGGGTGGGACAAGGGGGCAGTTCTAGTTTCAGAAACGACTCCACGGCAGTGAGTGCTTTTTGGTGGATATCTGGAATTTCTTGTGAACTATGAAAGAAATTAAGTAAGCAAGTTTGGAGGAGATGAAGTAAGATAGAGGCTAAGACAGATCTCTAAGGAACCAAGAAGCAGAAGCTGAAGAGACAGGCCTTTCCTGTGGCGCTGACAGACAGAGGGAAAGCCTCCGCCCGCGCTGGTGCGCTGAGTCCAGACTGGGAGCCTCCCTAACTGTGGCAAAAGAAATTCCTGTTTGTCAGAGCTTTCTCTTTGTGGTAGTCTATTACGATAGCACTAGGCAACTGACACGTCTTTGCTTCTTTTCTTTTTCCTCAGTGAATCAAACGTAAAAACAAACACAATCGGTGAGGAAGTCAATGGACACTTCTTGGTTCTTAGATATGATTTTTATTTAAAGGTGCTGAGTTTATAACTTAGTAAAAATCTTGTGACTTAAGAGTATTTTTTTGTAATTTTATGTGTTTATAGTTCATAGGTTACTATTATTATTATTATTATTATTATTATTATTTTGCTTTGTCCTTATAATTGTAGCTATTCTATATGAAGGATTGTAAAGAACATGCAAACAAAGACTATTGTACTTACGGGAGTTTAATCTTTGCAATTTTTATTGGAGTAAGTATTCTTAAATGGCCATACCAGTGACCTTTGAGTAGATATGATACTGTAACTGAGAACTTACCAAAGCATGACTGTTTTTTAAATACTTTTCAAAGTAAGCCAAAATGCTACCAAGATTTTGACTTTGTGTCAAAGACAGGAGTGAAACTATATCCTCTAATATAAAAGAAAAACCAGAAACTTTGATCTACTTAGGGTTTGCAAGAATTCTCAATGGTACCCTGTGTCTATTTTAGTGAAGAGTGTGCTCGTGAAGCCCCCAGTGAAATGGCTTGAAGATGAAGGAGCCCCTTTATTTGAATCCCCTTTGTGAGTAAATTATGTTTAATACATTATTTCATGTAAATTTAAAAAGATAATAATGCTTCATTGTCTTTTTGGTGAAAGTTCATACAACAAATTAAGTTCCCATTTGGCAAATTCCACAGAATTGTTCAATGACATTGTGCTGCATTTTCTACCATGTACCAGTATTTTCTTTTACTGCGTTCTGGTTATTCTACTTCCAGGGCTCTGATTTCTCTGCCTTACCATACACATCTTTTCCTCTTTGCTTTTAGTGTCATAGAGATGTTTTTAAAACAAAAGCAAAACAAACTGGAGTATCAACTGTACTCATAGGCATATCCTTTATGGTGTGCAATAATAGTTCGTTATTTCATGACAAACTGACTTTAGGGAATAATTTTGGTTGAAGGTTATAGAAGCAGTGGTTCTCAACCTGTGGGGCATGACCCCTTTGGGGGTCAAACGACCCTTTCACAGGGGTTGCCCGATTCATAACGTAGCAAAATTACAGTCTGAAGTAGCAATGAAAATAGTTTTATGGTTGAGGGGGTCACACAACATGAGGATCTGTATTAAAGGGTCGGGGTATGAGGAAGGTTGAGAACCATTGTTAGAGACTATCTCAGGGCAGCAGTTCAGAGGCATCCTCTACTTTCACTGGTCCAATAAGTCTGGACTTTTTAAGAATTTACTTTCTGTTCTGTGTTTTTCTCTTATTCTGTCTTGGGAAAAGTTACTTAAAATAAAATCTACTCCCAACCACAAAAACCTCTCCCCCCAAAAA